GATAACAGACCTCACAGCACCAGATGCACACCAGGAGATGATGCCAACTGGGTGTAAGACCCAGCACCCAACACTCTCAGTAAACATGCAACAAATGGTAACCATTATAGCCATTGCCATTTTAACCTTTCAGATTTGCTTTGTCTGTTTCCATCTGCATTGGGCCTGATCAGTGGCAAATTCATTCGCTCATTCACTCAACAAATATTTACTGAGTGCCTACGTATGCCAAGCACTATTCTAGGTGCTGTGGGGATGCAGCCGTGACAACACAGATTTACCTTAAGGTATAAAAGTTGTAAACTTGGTACCTAACAGGTATGCTATCTGTCTTTCACTTGCCTCTCCATGCCCCAGAACCAATTATGGGGGGTCTCAGTATGTTGCCCAGGCTGGTCTCAAACTCCTGGCCTCAAGTGATCCTCCTGTCTTAGCCTCCCAAAGTGTTGGGGGGTAGAGTTCCTTCCCTTCTCTCTCCCTCCTGGGAGCTGTGTCACAGGCAGCAGCTGTGCCCTCCACAGCACAGCTCTGCTACTCCTGCCCTCTGGGACTCGCTAAACACCTGCCCCACTGCCCTTCCCCCGGGGAGTCACAGCCTCCTGCTCTGAGATGTCCATGGGTACCTTGGCATCCCTTGTTTTCTCCCTGAATCCTCTGCTGTGGTCCTTTCATTAAAGTCTCTTCATTTGGGGCTGGGCGTGATGGCTCATGCCTGTAATTCCAGCACTTTGGGAGGTGGACCCCTTGAGGTCAGGAGTTCGAGACCAGCCTGGCCAACTTGGTGAAACTCCACCTCTACCAAAAACACAAAAATTAGCCGGGCGTGGTGACACACACTGGTAATCCCAGCTACTCAGGAGGCTGAAGCAGGAGAATCACTTGAACCTGGGAGATGGGGGTTGCTGTGAGCCGAGATCATGCCACTGGACTCCAGCCTGGGCAACAGAGCGAGACTCCATCTCAAAAAAAAAAAAAAAAAAAAAAGAGCCTCTTCGTTTGAGCCATCTGAGAAGATAAGCAGGTGTTCAGCAGATTTCTTAGCCCTAATAGAAGAGGGGGTGTCCATAGCTTCAGGTCTACACCAAGCCCTTGATCCTTGCATGCCTGGGAACCTGGCTCCTGTTCCTCCCTGGGATCCTAAGCACAACATTCACAGGCTTCTCCTCAGTCACTTCCTCTGACTACTCTGTGGGGTCATGCACTGCAGCAATGCACCTCCATCTTAGAACTTTCTTACTCCCAATTTCTGTGTCCCTGATCCCAGCACTTCTAGTCTGCTCTACCTCAACATTGTCAAAGACAGCTTAGACTCACGGGACGAGGGAAAGGCCTTGGGCGCTGCCCCTCTCCCTCCCCCTGCCCACCGCCGTAAAGCTCACCGTGGTTTTCTTTTTTTTTTTTTTTTGAGACTGAGTCTGGCTCTGTCGCCCAGGCTGGAGTGCAGTGGCCGGATCTCAGCTCACTGCAAGCTCCGCCTCCTGGGTTTACGCCATTCTCCTGCCTCAGCCTCCGGAGTAGCTGGGACCACAGGCGCCCGCCACCTCACCCGGCTAGTTTTTTGTATTTTTCAGTAGAGACGGGGTTTCACCGTGTTAGCCAGGATGGTCTCGATCTCCTGACCTTGTGATCCGCCCGTCTCAGCCTCCCAAAGTGCTGGGATTACAGGCTTGAGCCACCGTGCCCGGCTTCACCGTGGTTTTCTAAGCTCTCACCTGTACCTGGCATTATGTGAGCTCAGGACCAGGTTGGGTACTTCTGTCCCCATTGTACAGGCAAAAGAAGGGCCTGAGAGGACAGAGGGCTTTGACCAAGCCCACAGGCTGAGCTGGTGTGAAGCATGTCCCGCCAGTGACCCGCGTGGCTGGAGCACACCGAGGGTGTGGGGTGGAGGGGCAGGGTGAGCTGAGGCTACTGTGAAGGGCCCTGGGTCGTACATGAAGGATTTGGTTTTATCATCCACCAGGGGCCGGGGCAGGGATTTTAAGCTGGAAGGGGTGTGTGTGTGTGTATGTGTGAGAGACACACACAGAGACAATCAAATCAGCATTTTACAAAGTTCCCTCCCCACTCCCAGGTCTTGGGAAATCAGTTACAGGTGACAGAAGTCGCAAGGAGCTCTTAGAAGACCATGCATGCTGGTAATGAGACAGCGATGGTTTTCCCCTGGTTCTCTATACTTCACTGTTGAAAATTTCCACAGGGAGGCCGGGCGCGGCGGCTCACACCTGTAATCCCAGCAGTTTGGGAGGCTGAGGCGGGCGGATCACGAGGTCAGGAATTTGAGACCAGCCTGGCCAACACAGTGAAACCCCATCTCTACTAAAAATACAAAAATTTAGCTGGGCGTGGCGGTGGGTGCCTGTAATCCCAGCTACTCGGGAGACTGAGACAGGAGAATCGCTTGAACCCAGGAAGGAGAGGTTGCAGTGAGCCGAGATCGCGCCATTGCACTCCAGCCTGGGTGACAGTGAGAGGCTCTGTCTCAAAAAATAAATAAATAAAATAAAATAAAATAAAATTTCCACCAGGAAACATGTATTACTTTACCAGAAAGAAGCCATGTTTGTAAGAAAGGCTACTGGAGCACTGGAAGTGAGACAGGGACACAAAGGGGCTTGGGAAGGCTGGGTGTGGGCGACCCTTCCTGAGGGGGACAGCAGCTGGGGCAGCCTAGTACAGGCTGGGGTGGCAGGATCGGGGGAGCATTGTGTCTGGATGCACACTTGCGAGGAGCCTGGGGACGCCCGGGGAAGCGTGTGTGGGTGACTGGAGCTCAGAATGGAGATGCGGGTGGGGGCAGGGACTAAGCAGTGCCTGGTGCCTGAGGAGAGGAAGGCATGGTGTGAGAAGAGGCTGAGGAGTGTGGCACAGGAAAGGGAAGCGGCAGGCAAAGGAGAATCGCCCAGGCAGGGTGCAATGGCTCACGCCTATAATCCCAGCACTTTGGGAGGCCAAGGTGGGAGGATCACCTGAGCTCAGGAGTTTGAGACCAGCCTGGCCAACATGGTGAAACCCCGTCTGTACTAAAAATACAAAAATTAGCTAGTGTGGTTAGGTAGCCTGTAGTCCCAGCTGCTTGGGAGGCTGAGGCACAAGAATCACTTGAACCCAGGAGGCGGAGGCTGCAGTGAGCAGAGATCACACCATTGGACTCCAGCCTGGGTGACAGAGCAAGACTCCGTCTCAAAAAAGAGAGAGTTGCCCAGAAAGGAGCCCGGAGGCTGGAGAGAGGATTCTGTGGAACAGAGGGTCTGCACAGCCCTATGCAGGTGTGGGGGGTCTACAAGGCCACATGCTGCAGAGCAGTGGGGGAGCGGGGTGGAAAAAGCCCATCTGGATGCCACTGGAGACCCAGGCAAGCCCGGAGATGGAGTGGAGGCTGAGCCATAAAGGCATGAGGCTGACACCACAGCCGAGGAGCTGGGCTCTGGGGAGCGAGGAACTAGGGTGAGAAACAGTGGAGCATAATTAGAGCCAAGGGAGGGGCCTGCTGGAGAGGCTGAAGCACTTTGTGGTGGGGAGGGAGGCAGTCTGGACTTGTGTCCTGCCCCCCACTTGCCAGCCATGTGGCCTTGGGTTAAGCCTCAGTTTCCCCACCTACCATAGGGGGGTAAAAGACCTTCCTCAGTGTGGTGAGTGTGAGATGAGATAATGCGTGTGCCTGGCCCCAGTGAAAGCTCTGTCAATGTCAGCTGCTCTGCTAGGCACCCAGGAGGGTCCAGCCTGGACAGGACAAGGGGAACTCATCCCTGGCAGTGGCAGGAAAAAGAACAGGAAGTGAGGCTCACAGAATGTCTGGGAGCCATGAGGAGGCAGTTGGGGAGCTGTGGATAGGCTGCGAGGGGCCGGAGGGATGCTTTTTGAGAGATTCTCCTGGGAGCCAGTAGGGAGGCAGGGCCTTGGGTGTCCAGGGCCTGGGTCCCTCGGTCCCAATCCTGGCTGTGATGCCACCTTGCTGTGTACCTTTGGGAGGCCCCTCTCCTTCTCTGAGCTGTCCCCTCATCTGAAAAAGAGATGGACTCACCCACCTGTAACCTCTTGCCTCTGAGTCTAGAACCTTCTCTAACATCTTGCCTCTGAGTCTAGAACCTTCTTTAAGTGAGAGCATCTGGACACATCACAGCCCCCACCCTCACACCCAGAACGGGCCTGTCATACGGGAGCTGCTCATAAATATTCACTGAATCAAACGAGCGCACTAAGGGTCTCTCACAATATCTAGGTCCAGGAGCCACCCTGCAGCCTCTGACCAGGCCACATGGGCAATAAACACCCACGGGTGAGGTGTGTCCACGCTCCACACAGCCCCCGCGCCTGCTCATTAGATCTGAAAGAGATTGCGGCACCCCTGCAATTCCTGCTGCAGCCCTACCCTTTCCGAGGGCCAAAGTGCCTCACCCTGTCCCCACCCCACCTTGCAAAGACAGGAGGTGACTCCACTGAAACCCAAACACAAGGCTGAAAAGCAGATGCAAAGTTGGCTTCTCCCTTGGTTAGGGGTGGCCTAAGAGCTAAGAGGGAGGCTGAGGTGAGAGTGGGGCCCTGAATAGCAGGTGGAGCCCTGGGAAGAGGGAGAGGAAAGCAGAGAGAGAAACAGAATGGCAGGAAGCAGGGGGCCGCAAAATCCCCCTTCTGCACCCCAGGGTAGGCCAGGGACCCAGACGTTGGGGCTGCTGGAGTCACAAACCCGCTCCCTCGCCCCTCCTCCAGGAGCCAGCGGTGGCAGCTGGAGACGAGTCTTCTCTGTCTGAGTGAGGGAACACCTGAGAAGGGAGGTGCCTGGTTGAGAACTCATGTGCTAACCCAGATCCAAAGCTCCGGGATCGGGAGGAGGAGGGAGAAGGCTCAGGGGGTGGGTGGGGCAGTCCTGGCAGGGAAGTCTGTCTGGGCAGAGGTTGGGAAAGCTGGTCACGGGAGCAGGGGCAGGAGATGCCCAGCTGGGCAGGGGCACGGCATGCAGCAGAGCGGGCCTGGGTGGCCCCCACGGTCCCTGCCCTCACCTGCTGCTGGGCCTGGATCCGCATGTACTCGGCCCTCTGCTTGCCATGTTTGCTTTTGTCGGGGCTGCCCACCTGGCCCTGGGCAGCCTTCAGCCGAGAGGCCCCCGGAGTCACCACCTTCATGGGCGGTACGCTGCCTCCGCCACTCTGCAAGAAGAGGAACAGGGTTGCAGTTGCCGGGTGCACGTGGGGTGAATCACACAGGAACCCTAGCACTGGGTGGGGTTTCGGGGCTAGGACCTCCCCAGTGGGACCTTTTGAGACCTGGAGACCCCTCTCTGGCTCCACATCCCAGTCCAGAACCCAGGTCTACTCTCTGAGTCCCCACTGATGGTCTCCCTGCAGCAGACGGATGGGGCCCCAGTCAGGTTCCCAACAGCTCTTGAGGGAGAGCTCTTCAGTGGCTTCCCTGAGTAGCCCAGAGGCAGGTGATGTCCTCCTTGGGGAGCCTCTGCTAAAGTGAGGGTCCCCAGCAGCAACCCCACTCCCGGCAAGGGGCACCATCTGGACCTGGGTGCCGGCGAGGGGCTCTCTATAATGGCACACAGAGCAGAGAGGCAGCCCCAGGCCCACATTCTCCTCCTAAGGGGAGGATAGAGGTGAGGTCTCCCTAGGGATGGGCAAGCTTGGCTCCCATGAACCTCCCCAAGTACCAGGCCTGCCCACGGGGCACTGGGGATCCAGAGGCGCAAGCAGAGAGATGACAGAGACAGAGAGTCAGAGACAGGAGGGGGAGGGGAGTGTGGAGAGGGAAGGTGGGGAGAGAACTTTATTTGTTGGTTTACAGATACGGAGCAGAAGGGGAGAGGCCCTGGTTCTTGCCAAGGCTGGGGATTGGCCGACCCCTGGGTAGGCCGGCTTCCCGGCCTCCCTCGGACTCTGCCTGCAAACCCTGCTCTGACACCAGGCTCCCAGGAGAGTGATAAGAGCTGAGAGAAGGCTGGTGGGAGGAGGGGGCTGGCCTGGCATTCCTGCTGCCCCCTACTCCGTCCAACTCTGGAAATGGAGGAGGAAGGCAGCAGGGAAGGATGAAGAGGGGGCAGCCACCTGGGGGCCGAGGGGTAGGGGTGGGGGGCTGCCAGGGGACCCCACGGCAGGGCCTGTGCCCATGTTGCTCAGGGTGGCTTCCAGCTCCCGGAGCGTCTCCTCCAGGCTGTCCATCCGCTGGGCAGTGGTGCCCCACGTGGCGCAGCCTGAGTTGGCAGTAGCCTGGCCCTGGTGCTCCCTACTGCAGCTTTGGGCATCGTGTCCAGAGTCCTTGAGGATCTCCTCTGGGTAGGTGTCAGCAGTAGAGGTCTCTGGAGTCCCATCCTGGGCTGGTCCCTGAGGACAGGGTACCCTGGCTCCTCCATCCTCTAGGCTGCAGCCTCCTCTGCCCAGTCTCTTCAGAGCTGCCCCCTCCTTCCAGGGCATGAAGCTGCTCCTCAGCCCAGGAGTCTCTCCCACTACCCCTGGCGGGACCTGTGGGCCATCCCAGCCCCTCCCGCTGTCAGCCAGGGTCCGTGGTCTTGGGGTGGGAGCTGTCCTGGGTCCCAGTTCCTCAAGTCTGGCCTCTGGCGGGCTAGGAGGGCTGGGGGCACACTCTGTCAAGATGATCCTTGGGACGCAGAAAGCCCTGGGACCTGGGGCAGCCTGCGGGGAGAAGGAAGATGAGGAAGAGTATGATTCCTACAACCAAACCCCAAGCTAAAATGGGGGTTACAGTTAGGTGAGCCTAGCCGCTTTCTTTTACAGATGGGGAAACTGAGGCAGGGAGGGTCCTGACAGAGGCTACCCAGTAAATTGGAGGCAAAATTGGGACCAGAATTCAGGTCTTTCCCATCATACCCCACGGCCTCCTACTTTCCAGTAAAGGTGCCAGTTTGGCCAGGGCAGGCACACGTTTATTTCACACCACCCATGTGAGCCTCCGGGAGCCGGTCTCAGGGTTGCTCCCATGAGTGTGCCCATCTGTGCAATGACTCCACAACAAGGTGGGGCCGGTGGAGGATGAAGCGAGCTCGCGGGGCATGTTGTGAGTGCTTCATAAATATTAGTTATTTGTTGAAATGAATGGAATGATGGAAACCTTCGGCCCCGTGTGGGCAGAGACCACATGTCAGCCTCTGGCATCTCAAACCAGAGACTTCTGGCCAACCCTAGCTTTGTGTGCTCTCCCCAAGAGCTTCACAGCTGGAAGGGGTGGGGCTTGCCCCCTGCCAAATCCTCTGCTGCACACACACTCGGGCAAAGCTCCCTTGGGTACCTGCTCCGGTGCCAGCATCCCTGGCCCTGGCCTTGGTGAGGGCACAGAGGGAAGCCCCAAGTACCATTCCCCGACGTGAGTGAATCCTGGTCTAACTCTGAGCACCAGGCTTGTGCCAGGTGCCATCACATCCTTCCTCACCTTCAGTGCCTACCTTAACCCGTGAAGTGACTGCTGCTCTCACCAGGGCGAGGGAGGTTACATGCTTCACCCAAGGCCACCCACAGCTAGTTAGTGGCAGAGCCTGGATTTGAACCCAGATAGTCTGACTCCAAGGCCAGTGCTCCTTCCACTAAAGGGAGCCGTGGGGAGACGGGAGGGGGCAGCAGGGACCCCCAACCACCCCCTCCCAAAGGAACCCACCCAGCCTTGCCACCTGCTTACCTGGAAGCGGGGGGTGCTGACTGGGGAGGCAGAGAGGGCGACCTCATGCTCGCCCGGCTCCACAGCCCGATGCTGCCGCAGGATGCAGAGGGTCAGCCAGGGGCAAAAGGCCTTGTCCACTGGGCCCCTGAGGATGGGCTCCCAGAGCCAGAAAGGGGCAGGGCTTGGATGGGAGGGGCCAAAGTGCCAAGGGCACGGCCAGTCCAGGAGGCGCCCCTTCCATAGAGCTCGTCCTAGAGGTTCCTCACACTGCTCTGTGCCCATCCCCTGCCCAGCAGAAGGCACTGCCCACTATCTGATGTCCCTCTGCTCCTCCCCTACCAGGAAACCAAAGCACCACCAGGCCTCCAGCCAGGCCAGAAATCAGGTGGCCATCAGCACTGAGCCCGCTGTGCGGCAGGGAGCCCCAGACAGGCAATGTGCGCACATGGGAGGCTCTCCTTCCCCAGAGCGGAGCCCCCCTGCCTTAACCTGACCTGGCAGCGAGAGAGATTCCCAGACCTTCCCCCTCCCCTCCTCCCCAAACACAGTCCCCAGGGGTGGGGTGCAGACAGCAGGTTCACCCCCAAATTCCCAGGAAAGAATAAAGAGGAAATAAGTGCAGCAGGACAGCAGCAAGGACTGAAGTTAGAGAGGAGGAAGAACTTCCCAATGCCAAAAGAACCAGCAGCCAAGGAATGGCATGGCTTTCTTCCATCCCAGGCTCTCTGTCCAAGAGAGCAACGTGGGCCATGGGCTGGTGAGGCTGTAGAAGAGCCTACCCCTGTGGCGTCCTGGCCCCCAGCGCAAGGCATAGATTCTAGTGGGAAAAATAGAGCCCTCCCTGGCACAGGCAGCAGAGCAGCGAAGATGGAGGTGGGGGCTAGGCAAGGGCTCAGGACAAGGTCAGATTTTGAGTTGGACCCAAAGTCATCCTGTGAGCAAGATCCAAACTCCAATCTTGGTCCAAGACCACACTCAGCCTTCAGGCCAGACCTAAGCTCAGACTGCGAACCAGAACAAAATACTCAGGCTTCCATCAGCAAGCCCGTGAGAAAATGCAGACCATTTTCTCAAGGGGCCACCAGACACCCAGGCTGCTGGAGTCTCGGGGAGCCCCCCAGCAGGCAGCAGGGAGGAAGGGTTATGCGCCTGTCCTTGGAGTGGGGGAGGGGTGAGTCCACGTGTAACGCTGTGGCAGTGGCTGTGGCGGTGGCGGGACTCGGGACGGTGACTGGCGTTTTAGCGGGTTAGCGTGGGAGGTGAGGAGAGGAAGCTGTGGGGGCACAGGCAGAGAGAGAGCTGGGAGAAGTGGGAGCAGCCCCGTTACCTTCCGTGTAGGGCCTGGGGCTGAGCCCCCGGGGGGCCCCAGGTCCTGGGGGGACAGCAAGGTGGGGATCAGCTGGCGGCGGGGCGTGGGGGGAAGGGAAGACACTGAGGTTCTCTCAAACACCTGGGGAGCAGAAGGTGGGGGCAGGTTTGGAGGAGGGGATACCAGGGAGGACGGGGGTGCTGGCCTGTGGCCTCGGCATCCTTGAGGAGTGTGGCCTGGGATGGCGTCGGCCCCCAGCCTCACCCCATGGTCCCTTGCCATGGCCGCCGGCCCTCTCTGCCCTCATCTGGTCACCTCCAGAGGCCCCGCACTGGGGCTGGGGGTGGCTGAGAACGCTTAAGTGTGGTGACTGACACCGCTGGGAGAGTCGAGGCATGGGGCATGAGAGTCTCAGAGTTCTGTCCTCAGAATACTCAAGTATGGGGTCTCAAGCATGAGCTGATCTCGGAACACTCGGGGATGGGGGTCTCCAAACTTGGTGATCTCCGAATCTTAGGATATGGGGTTTTCAGAGTGCAGGAGGTCTGGGGATACTTGGGGGGACTCAGAGACTACAATTAAAAGACTCAAATCTGTAAGGAGAGAAGACTTTAGACCCCCACCCCTCATTTCACAGTGGAGAAGAAATGGAGGCAAAAGCCTGAGGTCTGAACAGCCAGCACTCCACAGGGAGCCCGAGAGCCCATCTTCTGTCTCATCCTGTCACCTGGCCTGGGGGCAGCCTGGCAGGGAAGGGGGCCTGGCTGAGACCTTGGGGGCCAGGTGTGCCCTGACCTACCTCTAGCTCTGCAATGATGCGATCCTCGTCATCCTCGTCCTTGATGGCCGAGGCCATGATGGGTGGTGTGGAGGCCGGGCGGGCCACCTCCGACACGGCCCGGCGCAGCTTCACCTGGGGCTTCTGCACCTCCAACTCCTCGGACTCGGCCTTCTGCAAAGCCCGGGACCCCTGTCAAGGCCAGGCTCTGCCTGGCTTCAGCACCAGCTCACCTCCCAGGCCCCATGGTGTCCCTCAACGGACAGGGGCCTAGCATGGAATTAAGGCAAATACACATATCCGGAATCCCAAACTAGCAGGACAAAGTTGCCACCGGCTACCCCCTCCTTCCTTCCATGTTCTCTGAGAAAGGGGTCTCTTTCCCACCCCAGAGGGTCTCCAGAAGTCATCTGAGGATTCATCCTAACTCAGTCCCCCGGCCCTCTGTCTGAGGTGGGAGTGGTACCTTGATGAAGGCCGAGTCCTTCTTGCTGGTGACCACCACCTCTCCAGTGCGTGTGGTGGTCAGGCCGTGGGAGGAGGGGAAGCTCCGGCGGGGAGGGGGCGGCGGGGGTGACTTGGAGGGCTTCTCTGTGCGGTATCGGGGCACTGTCAACTCATCTGCAGGCACCAAGGGGCCGGGGGTCAGCGGGCCTGCAACCCTGGAGTCAGTGCACTACATTTAACTTGAAGGGGATAAACCTTGCTTCCTCCTCCAGGGAGGACCTGGAGGAAGTGAGAAGAAAGCCTGGGGGCAAGAACACAGGGCCCCCTCCTTCTCTTATCTCCTCCTGCACGCCAGCCCCAAGCCCTGTCCCTCTCCTGACAGCACTCTTGCTACTCCAAGTGTGGTCTGTGGACCAGCAGTACTGGCAGCGCCTGGAAGCTTGTCAGAACTGCAGCTCAGGCCCCACTCCTGGGCTGCTAAATCAGGATCTGGTTGAACAGATCCTGGGGTGATGGACGCACATTCAAGTTAGAGAGGCGCTGCTCTAACGACCTCTTTCCCATTGCCCCTCACCCTTGCCCTGGCTCAGCTCTCCATCTCTCCTCCAGGGATCCTGGCCCCTCCCACTGGGCTCTCCTTTCCCCCAATTAGTCCTCCAGCCCTGTTTCCAGGGTAACCTGCAGAGAGGTCACTCTAACCATGACATTCCCCTGCCTTTGATCTTGCAGTGGCTCCCCATCACCCCAAACCATGTCCAAGCTCCTTAGGCCAGCACCTCTGCACCTACCAGGCTTTCAGCCTCAGCTCTGCCTGCTGCTCCCCAGGTTGGACCCTGTTCAGGCCACACCACACACACACACACCTCCAGGCGTTTGCACGCACTGTTCCCTCACCCTGGAGTACCCTCTCTCACTGGCTGGGGAAGTGCCCACTCATTTGCAAGACTTCAGTGAAAAGTCACCTCTTCAGGGAAGCCTTCCTGCCCTCCTAGGGCCTCCACCAGGACTGCACAGTGCCAGCATTCACCTCTGCTACTACCTTTAACATCTGCATTCTATTTCTGGTTTACATACTAGGCATGGCCCGGCACAGATTACTTAATCATTTTGAGCCTATGTCCTCCTCTGTAAAATGGGAATAACTACCGTATCTGCCTCCTGGGCTTGTTATAAAACTGTAAGGATGAATACATTAAAAACAATGGAACAGTTCTTATCACAGAGCAAGTGCTTGATACACACAAATGTCAGTGTTATTTCCCCCACTAAATTCTGAGCTCTTTGAAAGCAAGCCCTGTCTTATTTCCATATCTCTAGCACCTAGCCCACAGTAGGTGCTTAACAAATATACATTGCAGGAATGAATAAAATGAAGGAATGATGACTGCCACTTCTGGTCTGGATTTCTGCCTACCCCGGGACCGTGACTCAGGCTGGGGACCATGGGAACTGTGTCAGTATCAGCGTTGGAACCCACCCTCAACACAGCCTGGTTTGTGGCATGCACCCAGCCAAGTCGTGGAGGCGGATGACTCTGCCTGGACTTGCTTGTCCTCCCTGCCTGGTCCTCTCAGCGGCTCCCTTCCCAGGACAGTGGGAAAAGCCGGGATGGAATCCAGCTCACCCTGTCCTTCTGGGTCCCAGTCTCCCTTTAGTGGCCGCTGATGTCCCAGGGCCTCCCTTGTCTGGCAGCCCGGCCACAATGATCTTGAGTCCCCAGTGCCTCCCCCATCAGCCTGAGCTCCCGAGGAGGGCACTCCCCGACACTGGGCTCCTCACCAGCCCTACTACTCCCCATACCTGAGCCCCTCCTCCCGCTGGGCTCCGTTCGGGGGGCTGCCTTCTGGCCGTGGGGGGCCTTGGGGGGCTTGTGGTCTGGAGTGGGAGCTGGGCCTGGATGGGCCTTGCTGGCACAGTCGAGGTCAGGGATGGCCTTGAGCAGCTCTGCTTGTGTCTCTTCCAGCAGCCGGTTGATGTCCTTGGCACTATACTGGGTCAGGGCTGCCCGCTTCTCCTCCCAGTCTCGCTCTGCAGCCTTAAGAGGGAGCCAGGAGTCAGGACCAAGGAAGCTCTCCCGCTCCAGGAACTCTGGGGCCTCAGCCTCCTCCCCCAAGCCACAGAGGCAAGGAATAGAAAAGGAAGCCTCATATTTGATCCCACCTCCAGGAAAACTCTTTGACTTCTTGTGGGTATGACATGGCATCCCCATGGGTAGGAATGCCATCCTCATTATATACTACATTCATGATAAACTTAGATCTATTTCTGGGCATTCTATTATTTCACTGACTACATAGTCTATTCTTGGGCAAACATCATAATGCTTTGATTATTGTAGCTTCATAATATGCTTTCTGTCTAGAAGGGCTAATGTCACCCTCATTATGCCTGTTAGACTTCCATTAGGGCACTGGCCCTCCTCCACCAAGGAAAAAGACCCATATGACTGGCACTCCCCACCCTAGGAAGGATGGTCGTAAGAATGTGTGAACCTGGCTCACGGCCCCACCCACAATCCCTGGCCCCAGCACCTCAACAGACACAGCCTTGTCCACACTTCTCTTGCCAGGAGTGTCCAAGCCTTTGGTGGGGTTGCTCCCCTTAGGGGTAAGAGAGGCTCCTTCAGCTGGTCCGCTCAGCTCATGCAGGTTCAGCGGGGGGCTGGGGGGTGGCATTTCGAAGTCCACGCTCTTGTTGAAGTCAGTCTCTGCCGTCACCTTCTTTGGGGACTGACTCAGGAGATTGTTGGGGGGTGGCCACACACCCTCATCCACTTGCCTGGGGTTGGGAGAGTTGGGAGCAGCTGTGAGGCCAGCATGTGATGACCCTTCTGCGGGAAGGCTGGCCTAAGGGAGAAGGGGTGGGAGGCAGCATCCTGGGATGCTGCAGGAGAGGTGGGAGGGCCTGGGGAGGAGTGACTGCCCCTGGTATAAGAGGAAGCCAGGTCTACAGCATGCAGGGGTCACAAGGCAGAGCTGAGATGCCAGTTCAGTCAGTGAACCTTTGGGGGAGCTGGGGTGAGGGTTCAGTCTGACCTATGGGTCTGGGCCCAGTGTGTGACCCCATGGGAAATCAGAGGTCAGGGACAGAATGACCTTCGGATCTGGGCCAGTGTGTCCGTGACCCCGCGGCAGCGCTTGAGGAGCCCATCCAGGCGCTGGGGCTCCTCCTTCAGGAACTTCACCGCCTCCACCTCCACGCGCAGCACCACCCGCATCTTGCTCTGCAGGCCCGGGAAGTGAGCTTCGGAGACAGGAAGGTATGAGCCGGGGCCAGAGAAAGCACCGCAGACTGGGAGGAGGGGATGGTGGCTGGAATATGGCAGACTCCCCCGCCCTGGACAACATGCTGCATTCGCAGGCCCCAGACCCACCCTTGAGCTCCGTCAGCGTCTCCCCGAGCTGCTTCAGCAGCAGTGCCTTCTCCTCCAGCTCGGGGCCAGGAACCAACCGGTGGTTGTGGGACACGTCCCTCTGGATCTTCTCCACCGATTTCTCCAGGTCACTGCAGCCACAGAGAGACCCTCTCAGCTCTTCTGGCCTGAGATGCCAGCCCAGCCCCCTGAAATTGGGCAGCTGGAAAGAAATCAGGCCACCAGTCGGATCAAAAGTAAAAGCAGGAGGCTGGGCGTGGTGGCTCATGCTCGTAATCCCAGTACTTTGGGAGGCGAGGCAGGCAGATCTCTTGAGCCCAGGAGTTCAAGACCGGCCTGGGCAACATAGGGAGACCTCGTCTCTGCAAAAAAATAAAATAATTAGCTGGGTGTAGTGGCAGGTGCCTGTAATCCCAGCTACTGGGGAGGCTAAGGCAGGGGGATCGCTTGAGTCTGGGAGGTTGAGGCTGCAGTGAGCCGTGATTGTGCCACTGCACTCTAGCCTAAGTGACAGAGGGAGACCTTGTCTCAAAAACAAACAAACATAAAAGTCAGCCACCAACCACATGCTCAAGTAAAATCTGCAATGCCAAATCTCAGAGATGAGGAGACTTCAGAAGCTCTCCCTAAGAGGTGCCCTGCACCATCTGTCCCCCTTGGAAGCTCTGATCCTCAGCAATATCCGCCCCAGCATCTCTCATTGTAACTTGCATCCCCTGATTCTATTCTGCCAAGGAAGCAGAGAGAACTTGGTTGCCTTTCAGAGAACCAGAGGCAGAGCACGTGCCCCTGGGGAGGTCTCTTGTTTCGGGGGAAACTGCCATGTTCATTGCCCTTCTCCCAAATGATCCAGCCACACAGTCTCTTTCCTGAGAGCCAAAGCTGCTTTAGATTTTCAGCTAGTGTATGCTGAACTTGTGTCATTTAAGACCCTATATTCTTCTAAACTGTAAATCAGATCAGGTCATCACTCCTGCCATTGAACCCTAAATGGATCCCATCATCCTGAGGCTAACATCCAAACTTTTCAGTGCAGCCAAGAAGGGCAGGAAGATGGTAGTTGAAAACTTGGTTCTAGAGTCAGACTGATCTAAGCTCCAATCCTAGCTCTGCCCTTGCCAGAGGAGAGATCTTGGGCAAGTTACCTAATATCTCTGGACTTCAACCTCCTCGACCAAAAAATAGGGATGGTAAGAGTTCCCCGCTAGGTGTGGTGGTTCATGCCTATAACCCCAGCACTTTGGGAGGCCGAGGCGGGCAGATCACCTGAGGTCAGGAGTTCGAGACCAGCTAGCCAATATGGCGAAACCCCGTCTCTACTAAATATACAAAAATTTGCCGGCCATGGTGGCATGTGGCTGTAATCCCAGCTACTTGGGAGGCTGAGGCAGGAGAATCACTTGAACCCAGGACGGGAGGTCGCAGTGGGCCGAGATCGTGCCACTGCACTCCAGCCTGGGCAACAGAGTGGGACTTTGTCTCAAAAAAAAGAAAAAATAAAAGAGTTCCCCCTTCATGGGGGCCATCAGGTGGATTGGATGAGCTAATGCAGGCGGCAAGGGCTCAGTGCCTGGGAGCTGCTCTTGTTTTCCGTGCCGCTGTACCCCTCGTCCCATCTGGCTTCTGCTTAGAACCCTTCAGAACTGCTCTGAGGTGCTACATGTGCTGCCCTCTCTGGCTCTTTATAATGCTGTTTTCTCTGCCTAGAATATTCCATTCACTCATACACATACACGCACACACACGTGCTAACTCCCACTGATCCTCAGGTCTCAATGGGAAGCTCTCCTCCAGCCCTTCCCCTTGTGGTTGCTGGGTCTGCTTCCTGCCCTCCAAACCGCTGAAGCTCCTGTTGGCTGGGTTGTGCAGCCTTCTGGACTACTAACCCCAGGCAAGGACCATGTCTTCCAGATTCATCTCTGGTTTCTAGCACCTGGCATGGTGCCTGGTGCAGAGTAGATTTCTGGGAAATAATGTGGAATGAATGAACAAGGGAGAGAAGGAACTGTTGCCCAGGTAGGTCATCTCAGTTCTGTACTTGAGTCGCTGACATCTCTGACCCAAATGCGGAACTTTATATACATTCCTGTCAAATCCCATCCGTTGGATTTCAGCTCAATCTAGGTGCAAACAACTTTTGAATTTCAGTTCTATTATCCAACAGATTTGCTCCCGCTTAAAGCTCTGTGTCATCAGCAAATCTTACCAGCACACCTTACCCATCTTCATCCAACTAACAGATGAAAAGACAGACTGGGTTGGAGTCAAGGGCAAAAGCTTGTGACTTAGCAGCACTACCAGTTAAACAGCTATCCTGTATTATGCACTTACTGTATGCCAGGTGCCACACTCAGGCCTTGGCTTTCATTACTTTGATTAATCCTCAAAACAAATCCTGGAGGTGGGAACAGTTATCATCTCCAGCTTACACACAGACAAACAGTGGCTCAGAGCCTAGACTACACATCCCAGCCTGCCTTGCAGTGATAAGTGGCCATTTAACTGAAGTCTACCCAATGGAAGATGAGTGGAAGGGGCACATGCTGCTTCCAGACCTGGCCCACAAAAACCTCCTGTGTAAGATCCTCCATGCTCCTTTTTCTTTTTTTGTAAGTTGGAACTCTCTGGGTGATCTTGGAAAACACATGTTGAAGACAGCAGAATCTCCATCAGCCTGAGTCCCTGAATGACTGCATGGAGAAGAGAGCCACCCGCCTAACACACCCAATACTGTTCCATGAGAAAGATATGTTTATTACTTTTGAATTATTAAACAATTTGGGAGCTTATTTGTTATAGCAAGCTACCCTAATTAATTAGCTATCCTAACTAAGACTCTGTCATTAAAAAAAAAAAAAAGGCCGGGCGCGGTGGCTCAAGCCTGTAATCCCAGCACTTTGGGAGGCCGAGATGGGCGGATCACGAGGCCAGGAGATCGAGAGACGATCCCGGCTAACACGGTGAAACCCCGTCTCTACTAAAAAATACAAAAAAACTAGCCGGGCGAGGTGGCGGGCGCCTGTAGTCCCAGCTACTCGGGAGGCTGAGGCAGGAGAACGGCGTAAACCCGGGAGGCGGAGCTTGCAGTGAGCTGAGATCCGGCCACTGCACTCCAGCCTGGGTGACAGACAAGACTCCGTCTCAAAAAAAATAAATAAATAAATAAAAAATAAAAAATAAAAAAATAAAAAAAAATTAAAAAAAAAAAAAAGGAAAAAAAGATATTCAAAGAGATTAACTAGTTAGTCCAAGGTCATACAGCCATTTTGTGGCAGAGCAGGATCTATTCACATCTGACATCAGCCATTGGTTCTGCTGCATCTCATTCCCACACTACACCAACATCACCCATGCTGCCCCCAATCCATACACTGCCCTAGCCCAGCCCTCGCCCTACCACATGGGAAAGAACAACTCCCCTGCTTATATGTGTGATACCTGACTGGTCCAAGCTGTGCCAGTTTTATAAAATGGTCACTCCCAAACATCACTCAGAAGAGGAAGAGACTGTCATGTAAAGGACTCAAATAAGGATTGCAAACTAGTTCAACCATTATGGAAAACAGTATGGCGATTCCTCAAGGATCTAGAACTAGATGTACCATATGACCCAGCCATCCCATTACTGGGGATATACCCAAAGGATTATAAATCATGCTGCTATAAAGACACATGCACACGTATGTTTATTGCGGTACTATTCACAATAGCAAAGACTTGGAATCAACCCAAATGTCCATCAGTGACAGACTGGATTAAGAAAATGTGGCACATATACACCATGGAATACTATGCAGCCATAAAAAAGGATGAGTTTGTGTCCTTTGTAGGGACATGGATGCAGCTGGAAACCATCATTCTTAGCAAACTATCACAAGAACAGAAAACCAAACACCGCATGTTCTCACTCATAGGTGGGAACTGAACAATGAGATCACTTGGACTCAGGAAGGGGAACATCACTCACCGGGGCCTATCATGAGGAGGAGGGAGGGGGGAGGGGGGAGGGGGGAGGGGGGAGGGATTGCATTGGGAGTTATACCTGATGTAAATGATGAGTTGATGGGTGCTGACGAGTTGATGGGTGCAGCACACCAACACGGCACAAGTATACATATGTAACAAACCTGCACATTATGTACATGTACCCTAGAACTTAAAGTATAATAATAATAATAATTAAAAAAAAAAAAAAGGACTCAAATAAGACTTCAGGAGATGACAACACTGCAACTCTCAGGCAGGAGGGACTAGGCCTCCCCACTTGATTTTCTCATCATCCAATCTGCCAAAGTTGTGCGGCCTCTAACCTGGGCAAGTTCTGCAAATGAGTCCCAGGCCAGCTAGTCTAGACACTGGATGAAAAAGTGGCTAGGCTTTCCAAACCCAGATTTAGTCCTGGAGGGGTCAACAGGGAAGAGTCAAAATGGAACCAGCTAAATAATTAATGGGGCCCAATGCAAAATGAAAATGTTGCCTCTAGTTTAAAAATTATTAAGAATTTCAAGATGGCAACAGCAGAGCATTATACCAAGCATGGGGCCCTTCCAAGCGTGGGGCCCTGAATGACTGCACAGGTGGCATACCTACAAAGCTCGCCCTGGGTTAGGCAAAGGTGGAGTCCAGGACCTAAAAGGTTTTAGTCAGCAGAGGCTGCACCTAAAGGCAATGCCCAGACAGACCTTAAGTGCTGGGCTAGATGAACAGGTGAGTGAGTCAAGTTGAATGAAACAGAACCAGTTTTAACTTCCAGCAAGTTGCCAGGAAAGAGGAAGGGGCATAGCAAATTGGAGCAAGAGTAAGTGTGCAGGGGTTATGGCCAGAGTGTGGGATAGGGAGGCTGCAGGGTTAAAGCCTGGGAAGGCTATGGGAGCTGGGCAGGGAGGGCCTTCATGGCGAAGTTGGAGCCCAGTATCTGCCCAACCCAGTAGAGGCAGGAGCCCTCTTTCAGGAGGATGGAGAATCCTGCCAGAAACAGTACTGCAGGTCCCAAGCTCTCTGAATAATGGGTTTGATAATGGGGCAGGGGGTGTGGAGTCTGTGTTCCTGGAGAACCAAGGTTCTCAGGAAGCCAAGGACCAAACACTTATAATGACAGTGGCATAAATCTGTCCTTTCGTATCTTCTAGCTCTGTGCTTTTAGATCTCCTTTAATTTTCCTTTAATGTCTCAGTAAAATTCCTTTTGAATATTCCAACCCCCCTCCTCTGGGCTGAATGAAAAGGGACAAGGAAAGGATAGAAAATCTGGAGAAATGGAATTCCCTGGGTGAGGAGAGATGGTACCTGCCAATCTGCTTGGAGATCTGGCTGGAGTCATCACTAAGTTATCACACCTAGAGTGATGGGGTGGCTGCTCCTGGCTTATGTCCCCTTGGGGAGGCCCCTTACCCTATTTCAGCTACATGGTGTCATGGGAATTGTTGCCTTGGGTCTTGCTGAAATGCACATGTACCACTAGGCTATGTGAGCCCCAGACTGAGGAGCAGTGACCTATCTCAAGGAGCCCCTAGCAAGAGGCTCATTTATGACTTAGTGAGGAAGCTGGGCTCCAAGGAGCAGCCTCTCCTGGCTCCCAGAGTCCCCAACCAGTACAACTCAACCCCTTGTTGAAAAGAGAGGTGAAAAGCTTAATGCTGGGTACAGATGAGGACACTGGGACACAGAGAGGGGCAGGAACTGCCCTGATCACTCAGCACCTCAGGGCTGGCACTGGACTCCAGGTCCCCTAGTGCCTTGTGTCGCCAAGAGGGGGTCCACAGGAAGGAGCAGGGCCTCTTGTCTCAGATCCCTATCACTGGCGAGGGAAAGCAGGGTGGGGGGTTCTTACTCCCTGAATGGACAGTGAAAGGCAGCATCTCCCTTCAAAGGTGCCAGACAATGGAATGGTTGGCCAGACAGCCATTTGTTAAATTTGGATCAGAAGACTGTCTTCTGTTAACCCCTCCATGCCTAAGCATGTGGAGGCGGAGTGTTCACGATTCCTCCTTCCTTCTGAAAACACTTCAGCCCTGTTCCAGCTGCACTAGGAAGGAAGGTGGGTTTTCCTTGGCTATATCTGGACTCAGAGATCAGGGAATCAGATCTCCAATGGTGGCTGGTCAGCGCCAGGCTGGAGCAGTGGCGGCACCTAAACGCTCCACCTGAACGCACTACCCGAGGGTCACTTTGCACGGGTCACAGGCCAGAATGAAAGTAGGCAGAGGGCAGAGGGAAATCAGGCAGCTGGCCAGATGACAGTGAAGCTGCAGGCCACAGGAAGCCTGAGTGTGGATCATTATGAAGCAAGACCATAGCAAAGCAGGCATCAAGCCAGAAAAAAGAAATCAGGAATAATGCCAGCCGATCAAAGGTTTGTGGGTCACACAGAAATCAGGCCAGAGAAGGAAATCAGGCTTCAGAACAGACCAACGCCACCTGTGACTCGAGGGAAGGGAGCTGCGCCTCCCAGGGAAACCAGGTGGCAGGTACTCCGGCCGCACCCCCACCTCTCCCTCCCCCGCGGGCCCAGCCTCACTTGAGCTGCTGGGTAATAAGTTCCTCGTCGTTGAGATAGCGCAGCCGCTCCTCCTCCACCAGGGTGCGCTGCCGCTGCAGCGGGTCCTCCTGCCGCCTCGCCGCCTCCGACACGCGCATGCTCAGCTCTGCCTCCGTGCGCTTCAGCAGCGCGCGCACCGACTCCTGGTTCTGTAGCTGCGGGACGCACGGACGGATGGACCCGGGTGGGGGGAGCGGAGGCGCGCGGCAGGGGAAGGGACGGGAGAAGGCGGGAAGAGGATTGCCCAATCCAGGGCGGGGCTCGGCAGAAGATGCAGCTGCTTGGCTCCGCCTCAGGCAGCAGCGAAGGGGTGGGATGGCGAAGGGCAGGGGCAGAGGGCTAAGTTCTAGGGAAGGCAGGAGGAGAACGGATGGGGATCGTGGAGGGGGGAGCGTTTAAATGGGCCATGCAAAGGGGCAGCTGCATGGCTGTGGCCGCAAGCAGCAGTGACGGGGTGGTTATTGCGGGGGAGGAGGGCAAGGTTAAGTTCTGGGGAATATGAGGCAGGAAAAGGGGTTGGGAATATTTGCGCGACAGGGTGTGGCCCTATGTAGGTCCCTGCCGACAGTGCGGCCGCATGGCTGTGGCTTCCATCATCCCGGAATGGGGACGGGACTGGAATGAAGGACTTAAGCGCTGGCGTTTGATAGAGTTTCCACGGCTGGGACAGGAAGACTAAGTTAACCATTGATCCAACCCAGTTCCAAGCCTGAATGGCGGGGGTGGGCGAGATCTTATCCTTTGCCCAGATGGCAATTCTCTGCCCCCTCCCCAGCCTGTCTCTGCTCATTATCCTCACCTGACGGGCCCTGGGCCCGCTTGAGGAGCGGACACGGCGGTGCCAAGCTCCTGACAGGTGGGACCATCTGCCAGGCAGGGCCGGGGGAGACTGTCAGGGCTCAGGAGGGAGGAGCTGAGGGGACTTGGGGGAAGGGCTCTGGCTGACTTAGGGAAAGGGTTGCAGGGCAGGAAGGAACTGGAACTGCCCCGAGGGATACTGACGAAGGAGGGGCTCAGTGGGTGACTGGGGCTCCAGGAGGGCGATGGGGACTCAGGGAAGGAAAAGGAGGGCTCAATGAGGGGGATACGGGCGAGGGGTAGGGCCTTGGTGAGGAAGCGGAGGTTCAGCGAGGGGGCAGAAGCTCAAGAAAGGGGAAGGGGAGAAAGGGTTCGGAGAGAGACCAGTGAGTGGCGAAGGACTCGGGCGTGGGAGCTCTGGGAAAAGGATGAGGTAGTAGGGGATGGGACAGGATTTGTGGCAAGGGGCTTCGACCAGTAGGTGAGCGTTGGTGGGGCGATGCCCGGGACGGGGCGGTACCTGGAGCTTGCGCAACTGCTGGAGCTGGCCGCGCAAGTCACTGGCGCTGTTCTGCAGGCCTCGCAGGTGAAGCTGCATCTGTAGCCGACTAACGGCGGTAGGCTGCCCTGCAGGGGTGCTGCTGGCCGAGGGCGGGGGCGGGCCGGACACAGGGGTGGCCCCGCTGCTCCGGCCGCCTGACCCACAGGCTGCAGAGGACCACGAGGATAGGAGAAAGTGAACAAACTGTGAGCCTGGGAAGGACTGGGCTGGGACAGCGTCCTCCCTACTCTCCACCACATAGCCAGAGAACCCCGTGGCTCTGACTACCTGCCCCAAGTGGCCAGCCCTAAGGGTGGGGACCAAAGTGCCAGGGCAAAGACCTCTTGGGCTAAGGCTAGTGATGTAGCTATTGCTTAATCCCCACTTTATAGATTAGGAAGCAGCCTCTGAGAGAACAAGGATGGGGGAGGGGGAGGGTCACTCACGTGCTGAGGGGGTAGCTGCTCCGTTGGAGCCTTCAATCTTCTCACTGTGGCACAGGGAAAAAAGCCATTAGGGGGTCCAGGCCAGCCCCAGACCTCCAGAGCTGGGTGGGACCTTAGATGTCATCTCCTCCAGCTCTCTGATGTCAGGATAGAGTCCCAGAGAAGGGAAGGGATTCACCCAAGGTCACCCAGTGAGACACTGGCAGAGCTGATGCCCATTTCCCCTTCCTCCTGCTCCACCCCCAGGCCCTGGCAGTGGTGTTGGGAGAGGGGCCTCACCTGGGGGTCTCAGGCTCAGAGCCCCGAAGTAAGGCGCTCTGCACCAGGCCTGTGAGGCTGGCAATCTGCTTCTCCATAGCCTCCATGCGCTCCCTGGGGAGGAAGGGGGTCTGGGCAACCTCGCCTCTGAGCATAGGGTCTCTCCTGCCCAGCCCCCCATTCCTAAATTGGTAACCAGAAGAAACACCGTCCCATCCCTGGCTACCAAAACACAGACAACCCAAAGGGCCCCAAGCCTAAGGATCAGGTCCAAAGCCTCCCATCTCACCTTTCACTCCCTCCCTAAAGGCTGCACGCTGATCTCTCCATGCCTGGCAATGCTTTCCCCTGCCTGCTCTGCCTTTCTCCTGACCCCCTCCCAAAAACATTCCACAGACCCCAGGAGCCCCGAGGAACCCCTCCTTCCACACCACCCAAGGGAAGTGGAGGTATGTTGAGTGTCTCCCCACTAGACCAGGACAGGAACTGGGTTTGCCCAGCTTGGCACTGACAGTAGCGTGTGCAGTGCCTGGCACACAGGCCACGTAAGAGCTGTGTGAAGGCCAATGGCTTCTCACTGCTCAGCAGCGCTGCCTGAGGGCGCAGGTTACCTACTGCCCTGGTTACCTCCTCCAGCCCTGCACCCTTAGGAGGGGACTGAGCGATGGGCAGGGGCTCCTCAGCCTGGAGGCTAGGTACCCGAATGTGCTCCTTTCCCCGTGGCCATTTCTCAATAGCACCCTCCTCCCCAGTGGACTTCAGCTGTCCCGGTGCTGGACAGCTCTCACTGCTGCAAACTCTTAAGCTGGAAAGCCACTAAAAGTGGTTCAGCCCCTCAATTTTACAGTTGGGGAAACTGAAGCTTAGAAAATGGATGCAAACACAAGTCTCCAGAGTCCTCGTCTGGGGACCTCTCAACTACCCCCTTGAGTCTTGCGGATGGGAGGAAAATGACAAGCTGGTCTTTCCAATGCCCTCCCTGCCACATCCAAGATGCTTTCTGGCCACCCTTCAAGACTACTCAAGGTCTCCAAAGGACTCCGGGATCTCAGTCCAGGACACACACCTGCCACGGACTCTGCCGTGCACCCTCTCCGCAGCGCACCCCCCACCCCCAGTCCCTGAAGCCTGATTAACGTCCCTCACCTGGTCTCCGTGTCCTTGGCTGGCACTGGCGGCCCGAACCCCACCAGCGAGCGCTCCCCAGGCCCAGGGAAGAGCTCCGAAGGGGGAGCTCCGGCTGTCGAGGCGCTCCCCGCGCTGCGGGTCTTCCCTCCAGGACTCTCGGCGAAGACGGACGAGGAGCCCGAGTCCTTGCGGAAGGACTGGCGCACTGGCGAGCCGCGGCTGGGCGGCCCCGAGTAGGGGCTGTGCGGCGGCGGGGGGCCTCCGGGGGGCCCTGCCACGTCGGCCAGCTTCTGCGGTGACGAGGGCGGCAGGCGGAAGCCGTAGCCGTCGCCGTACAGCGGGCCGCCGCCGCCGCCCGCAGCCTTGTACAGGGAGTCCTCCAGATCGGACTGCAGAGCGGCGGCCGAGTAGGTGCTTAGCGAGCGCACCGAGCCGCGCTTGTAGAGGCCGCCAGCTCCCGGGTAGGCGAACGGGTCGCCGGCGGCCGCGGCCAGGCTCAGACGGCCCTCGTGCAGTAACCCGTAGGGGTCTGCATAGAGACCCTCGCCCTTCACCAGCACCATGCCGCCCGCCTTGCCCGCCAGGTCCTCGTCCGGCTTCACGTCGCGCCGCTCCAGGATGGCGCTGGGGCTGGGGCTGACGCCCTGGGCGGGCGGGGCGCCTCCCAGCCTTTCGGCCGCGTGGTGCACCGGGCTGCCGGCATACGAGGGCGGCCGCCCCCCGGCGTACGAGAGACGCGAGCGCGACGGCGAGCCGGACTGCAGCCCGGATGGCAGCCCCGACGGCAGCCCGGGCGGCGGCGAGCCGGACGCCAGGTGCGGCGCTGGCGACAGATTGTTGAGGCGCCGCGTGGGCGACGACTCCCGCGACGCGTACACCATCTCTCTCTGCGCAGAAGACAGCCCGGAACCCCACGGGGCTGGTCACCAAAGACACCCCTGCCCCTTGCTTGAGCAGCCAGCATCTCCTCCCTGACGCTTAGGAAGTCCCTTCAGGTCTCAGCCCTCCCTCCATCCTGCTGCGTCTAGGGCCCCTTTCCCATCAGGGTTTCCAGCATGGCGGAAAAGGTGGCTGATGAAGAGGCACCAAGGGGTAACCTTCAGCTCAGCTACCGTGAGGGGTGGGAAGTAGAAGGGGAAGCGGTGGCTCCAGCTCCTGAGAGAGGCCTTAGAATATCTGGAGGCAAATTAGCAAAATCCCAAGTGGACAGGCCCGGAATGGAGAGGAAAGTAGCAGGTGGGAGAGGGGCTCTTCCCTAACCCTTCAGCCCCTATGCTCCCTTCTCCAAAACTGGCCCTGGTTCCCGATGACAACTTCCCAGACCCTGCTCCCCTGGACCCCATGTGCCCAGCCTCCCCAATGCCCTGGGCATGCCCAGCCATACCCGGAGGTCCCCGTTGGTGAGGTGTGAGCCAGGGAAGGCAGCGTAGAGGGGCTCCTTCCTATAGATCTTGATTATACTGCGGTCCTGGATGTCCCTGGGAGAGGCGGGGGGACGGGGGTCACCACCCATCTCCCAGCCGTGCACAATGAGAAGGGGTGGCTTCTCCAGGCCAAGAGAAGAGGGGTGGCCAGAGGCACCGGGAGCCCCAACTCTTTCCTAAATCCTTCGCTCAGGCTGCCTGCCACAAGCACACACGCCCAGCAGCCTCCACCCCGGCCTCGTCCTGGTCTCAGGCGCCATTTTCAGGTTAGCTCAAAGCAAAGGGAACCAGCGGGGGTGGATGATTTAGAGAGGGGGTGGGGCTGAGATGGCCCAGGAAGGGGGCGGGGCGGTAGGGCTCTGGGAGGCGGGGGGAAAGGCTGAGATCGGGTCAGGAAGGAGCTGGGGAAGGGCCGGCGGGGTCCAGCACCCGGCAGAGGAGGAGTGTGGGAAAGCCCTCCCGCATCCCCCTGGGGCTACGCCCACCGGACGTCCTCCAGCTCGTAGAAGACGTTGCGAGCCTCGTCTTTGATGAGGATGGCGGTATTGGGCGACTTAAGCATGCCCATGGTGAGCTTCTGCGGGAACATATGCGCGATGAGTGCGTGCAGCGTGTCCAGGCTGCTGACCTCGTGTGTGATGTGCACGCGCCGAGTCTCCTCCCCGAACTGCAGGAACAGCACCCCTGCGAAGGAGACACCGCTCTCGCTGTCACTGCCGCCGTCTCCACGCCGCCTTCCAGGAGAACGCGGGAAGCTTTCGGGAGCTGCGCCAGCCCCGCAGCGGCAGGGTCTGAGGCCAGACGCCGCCCCCGAGTGCAGGTGCACCCAGGCACCTCTCATGCTGCCGGCGGGGGCGCCAGGCCGGGTCTCCAGCCTCTCAAGGCACTCACTGGACTCCAGGCAGTTGGAGGAATTTGGACAAGAAAATGGAAGTGGGGGTAGGAGCAGGTGGGACGGAAACTGAGAGGAAGTGAGCTGATGGAGAGAGAGGTTGGAGAGAGTTAGAGAAGGGAGATGGGAGAGAAGGGAGGGATGAAAGAAACGGACAGAAAAGGAAGCAGGAGGGAGAGAGGAGGCTTGGAGGAAAAGGGGTTGGGTGGGGATGCTGAGGGCAAGAGAGAAATGGAGAGAGCTGGGGTTGCTGAGGGAGAGAGAGCAGAGCTTGAGGCGAGCTGGCATGCTGCAGGGGAGGAGGGGGCTCCAGAGAGTGAAGAGCAGAGGGAGGAGCCTGTGCCGGGAGGGAGGGTGGACCGAGCGGGCAGTACCTGGGGAGCGCAGCTTGGTCTGGCTGGCCGAGCGGGAGAGAGGCAGGCTCTGTCGGAAGCGGTTCATCCTGCTGAAACCCAGGGGCAGCTCGGCCTCCGACATGGTCTCCAGCGACTCGGCCGAGGCGTAGGACAGCTTTGCTGCCTGGTCTGCCAGCCCGGGCTGGGCTCCCTGAGTGTGGCGTGAGCTGCGGGTCTGCAGGGGCCGGGCAGGGCGAGAGGAATCAAGGATGAGCACCCCCTGTCACTGCCCATATCCAGGCCTGGGAAGGTCCTGCCAGCCAGTGACACCCAAACAGATTACAGACTCCTGGCATGGCCACAAGAGAGTTCCCCAGTCTCTCCCAGCCTTGGCCTCCCTGGGACACCTGGCAGGTAAGGAGTGGGCAAAGGACCCAGGCACCCTGGGAAGACAGACAAGAGGCCATGTGAGTGGGAGCCATGGGCACGGCTGCTATTTCAGGCTTCCGAAGAACAACAACAACACCAATTTGTTACCGAGGTGAGCAGCAGAATAGTTGAGCAAACTGGGGCATTAGTTCCAGACATTAATTAAGTGGCGGGTTTGTGAGCAGATAATTTATTCTTCATGGAGTTCAGAGGGTGGGGGTGGGGTGGGAAGCAGGGCCCAGGGAGAAAGCAAAGAGAGCTGGGACCCCAGGATCCCAGCTTTGAGGGGATGCAGACCCTGACAGAGCTGGACAGAGGGAATGTCCTTGATTTAGGGTGACTGAGAAAACTATCCCAAACTTCTCAAAGCCAGCTGGACCTGGATTTGAGACGACCTGCCCAGTGCCCACAATGCACATGTTAAGTCTGATGTGACACACATGCACACATGACACATGTGCCAGGCCTCAGCCCCTCCTTGCAAGGCACATGCTGCCACACAGCCAGCCAACCTCCCCCAGGACCCTCTGAGAGACAGCAGCCACTTCTCTGAAGCTGTAGCTGAGGCTGATATCTGGCTGGGGGTAGGGAAGGATGTCACAGGATAGCTTGATGGCTCTCTCCGTGGGGGAGGAGGAGTCAGGATTATTTCAACCACACTTTAAGAGCCTACTTTTGGCTGAAACCTGGGGATGTCACTCAGGACCACAGCCCCTGACATTCTGCCCTAGTCCCTGGGCAAGAAATCTGGTGGTTGTACAGAAACTGGTACAAGGAGTGAGATAATGAATCTGATCTACATCTTTCCATGTTATGTGCATTATATACACATATGTATTACATATACATATACTGTCAAGAAATAATGTTGCCCAATTACATTTTTTTGTAAAACAAATTGTCTATTTTTAACAACAAATCACTCAAAACCATTAACACTGGTTATCTCAGGGTTGACAGTTTCCTTTTTTGACTTTATAGATTTCTCTACAAAACTGTGTGAATAGATTCCTTTTATAATTAAAAAAAGACAACAATAAAATATCTCTAAAAAGGAATGATTTATTTTCCTCTTCAGCTCCCTCTCTTCCCAATTCCTGATTTACCCCTAATTAATCTCCATCTTCATATTAACTCAATTTAATATTCCAATTGGATTAGCACTCTTAAAGGGAGAGCATCTTCTTCTGATGGGCGAGTATGCCCAGCTGTCCCCAAGGTGGCCTTGAGGGTTTGGGGACCATAATAGATCAGATGTGAGGATCAGGAAGCTTCCCCTCTCAAGCACAATGCCTTGACCACTGGGCGGGCGCGGGTCTTGGCAGGAGGAAGGCAGCACAGAAACGGGCCCGGGGGCAGCAGGGAGGGGCCACTTGTGCTTGTGACCGAGAGGCTATGGCTGAGCTCTAGGCTGACCACCAGTGCCAGCCCACACCCCTCTGTCTCACCTTCATCCCAGCTGAAGGGCGGGGAGCTCTGCAGCAGTGTGGGGAACCAGGTCTGGTCTGGTGGTCATGGGGTTGCCTGGCAACTAAAAGGTCAGTGGTTGCCAGGCTGGTGCGGATGAGGGGCTACAGAATTCAGGCAGCATGAGGCAGCCAGCAATGATGAAGAGTAGGGGGTGGCCATGGTGCCGGGGGGACACCAGTGAGGTGCCAGTAAGGAGGTGGAACAGGGGTCCAAATGAAGGGAGGCAGGGCAGGGATCCTGGGGGTTGCTGCCTGCCAAGAAGGCAGAAACCCTGCGAGAAGAGATGCTCCACCACTTCCTAGCCCCATGGGCACCTTTCCATTCTCACAGCCTGTACAGAAAACCCTCTCGAGAGGAGGGAAAACCTGCTGCCACTTCTCTCCATCCTTGGGCTGAGACGATAGGGCAGAGGAAAGTGAAACATCCAGAAGGACTTCCCCACCATAAGGAAGATGGCAGAAGAACAAAACAGTGAGTCAAGCAGAGCTCTCCAAAGATAGGACAGGGGTTGCCATGGAAGGTAGAGAGCGCCTATCACCAGGGTGTTTCAGGGAGTGCTCGTGGATCTGAGATTCCCAGAGGTTGTCCATAGACTAGGAAAGAGTCACTTGGGAGCTTTTTAAAATACCCTTTCCAGGACCCCATATTCACTGAACCAGAATCTCTGGGGATTGGAGCTGAGGTTCGAGATTTTTGACAAGTTCCTAAGGCGATTCTGATTTCTAGGTTTGAGAATCAAGGCAGAGTCCATGATTCAGTAGCTAATGAGGTGAGCTACCATGTAGGGCTCACCAGGAGCCAGGCACTGCCAGGAACATGCATCCCCTCTTTTTTTCTCTTTCTTTTCTTTCCTTTCTTTCTTTTCTTTCTTTCTTTTCTTTCTTTTTTTTTTTTTTTCCTGAGATACAGCCTTGCTCTGTCACCCAGGCTGGAGTGCAGTGGTGCGAACATAGCTCACTGCAGCCTCAATCTCCCAAATTCAAGTGATCCTCCCACCTCAGCCTCTCTCCTCAGCCAACAACTTCTCACTACATTGCCCAGGCTGGTGTCGAACTCCTGGGCTCAAGCGTTCCACATGCCTCGGCCTCCAAAAGTGCTGGGATTACAGGCATGACCCAGCACATCCGGCCTCTTTTTCCTGTCTTTACAACAATTTTATGATGCAGACATTGTCATTCCACTCTACAGAGGAGAAACCATGGCTGACAGGATATGTAACTTGCCCCAGGTCACCAAGCTAGTTAGCAGCACACTGGATGGAATTCACCACTAAGCAGCCTGGCTCTGGGGTCCATGCACTTAACCACTACCCTCAACTGCCTCCTCCAAAGAGGCTATGCTTGACACTGTGACTTTGACTCCATGATTCTCTGATTCAAGGACTTCTTGCAGTGCTAGGAAGAATGCATGCAAGTAAGACACCTGGGGAGTCTGGATGGGATGCCTCCCACCCCCTGTCATGATGCCTGTGACTTGGGAGGCCAGAGACTCCAGGAGGCAAGCAGGTGCCTGAGGCTGCTCCCCCAGGGGTCAGCAGGATACCCTGGGAAGGGCAGACAGCTGTCTCAGCTTGGAAAGGCCAGAGCTCAGGAGGAGGCAGGAAGGTACCTATCCCTGAGCTTAGCCCTCCACTTAGACAAAAGGCTTGAGGGTGTAGGACTAAGAGTCTCCTGCCTAGCACTGACCAGCCCCCATGGTGGAGAGAAAGAAAAGGAAGAGGGACCCATCACAGTTACAGGGCCTCCCTGGGAGGTGAGATATGAATTCAAAGAAGAGGGCCCACAACAAGGGTCTAGGTCCCTAACTCAGAGCCAGCAGTCTCTCCAGGCTAGGGAAAATGTATGCCATTCCAAAATGCCCCTCAGGGGCTAGGGATGCCTGGGGACTGAGAATTTCTAGCCCAGACCCCCAGCAAGGGTGGCCCAAACTCCCACTCCATCCCCAAGCCCCTGACAGGCAAACCCAGACTCTCCCAAAGCAGCAGCCACAGCCTGCAGCCTCAAGGCCCACCGCCCATACCAGAAGGTGCCCGTGCAGACGCGCACCCCAGTGCAAAGCCTGTGCAAGGGAGAGGCAGGGGCAGGGGAGGGAGAGCACATGCAGTTGTCATGGGAGCAGAGGCATCACACACTGACCTTGAAACTCCAGTAGTTTGGCTGCTGATGGAAATAAGAGAAGAGATGGTTATGAGGGGGCCCAGGAGGGGAAAAGAGGGGCAGGGGCAGGTTAGAGACCCTTGGAACTCAGCACTCAGCCCTAGGACAAGGGCCCGCCACCCTCCCAGGAGCAGGAAGGAAGTCATGCTTGATACATCCATTCTCTACTGAGACCTGGAACACCATGGTATACCCAGGATGGCCCCAAGCAGGCGCTACAGCGACTCCTCCCAGAGTTACCGGTGGGAAAAGGCACACAGGATGGTGATAGAGCAAACCCATGAGGCAGTCACAAGAGAGGCAGTGACAAAGCTGAGCTGTGGGGTCAGAGAAATGGCAGACCAGGGAACAGTGCTTGGAAGAGGTGGCATTTGAGATGGGTCTGGAAAAACCAGCAGCTGGAGACTGGGAGGAGAGGCCTGCTGGGCAGGGGGGTATGGCGTGGGCAAGTGCCCAGGGGCAAACAAGTGGAGACGGAGTTGAGGGAAGTCGCTAGTCCACATTGGCTGGGGTGCAGCTGGGAAAGTAGCAGATTAGGCTGCAAAGGGTGGGGAGTGGGAGGCTGAGGCCAGATGATGAGTGGCCATAACTGCTGAGAGAAAGTATTTAGACTTCTGGGTGGACAAGCAGAAAGTGTCTGAATGGAGCAGAGTGGAATCAGAACTAGACCCTGGGGCAGGAGTGGATCGGGTGGATCAGGGTGAATGGAGCAGGGGTCGGAGGAGGGGGGCTAGGGGCCAAGGCCAAGAGAGAGAGGCCTATACAGCATAATGGATCTAGTTTACAGAGCAGAGCAGCCAGATGCCAGGAACCTCACTCACTGGGCAATCAATGGCTGGGGAGCTGGGGGCAGTGAAGGGAGTTGGGGAGACTGGGGACGGTGGCTGGCTGGGATTGAGGAGTGCTCCTCGCATCCCTCTTAGCATCCCTAGAATGGGAAGCTGGAGAGTCCCCCTCATTTGCAGTAACCGAGGGTTGCCCTACCTTCCCTAGAGACCAGAAGGCCCTTCCAGATGGCTTAGTACAAGGAAGGAGCAGCCCTGGGGCTGGGTTGGTTCTTGGCAAAGCCGAGGCACCCTGCTGACCGGTGCCAGCCTCAGCAGGGAGATGGAGGCAGCAGATGGCCTGGCCCGGGGGTGCCTGGCACGAGCAGACAACATCCCCAGGCCTTAGAGCCACTGGCAGAGGAGAGGGACATCCAGGGCGCCCCTGGGGGAAGAAACACCATGCCAGGGTGTCCTGGGCCACCTGAATGCTTTCCTGGCAGGGAGGAGTTGGAAGGGGCTGAGTCGAGGGACACTCTGGCTGGAGGCTTTACCTAAGGCAGACTTTTGGGGTAGGGGTGACACTGGGCTGGGGCTGGGACCAAGAGGGTTATTTGCCAGGACCCCCTCCTAAGCCATCATCCCCATCCTTCCCCCAACATTCGCTCTGGAAAACAAACAAACAACAACAAACAAACAAACAGTCACATACCAGGCAGCAGAAGGGGACAACAAAGTCTGTAGTCTGTGTCCCAGCCAATGCCTGGAATCATCTCTGGACTGAGGCCACCCCCAGTGGTGCTAGGGGATGCCCACAGGTACTGAGGGTAGGGGAGACCAGGGGCCAAGTAACAGGCTCCAGCAGCAGCTGACTGTGGCCTGGGGAAGGGGAGGGGTAGCAAAGGGAGTGGACACGTGGGGGCAGGCAGAGGGCACCGGAAGGTTTTGAGGACAGTCACATCTGTAGACCCAGCGGTGATGGCCTGCTCTGCAGAGAAGGCCTCGAGTCCCTCACCCACCACTACTATGACACCAGGCACGGGTGGCACACACATGGGCCACCCATAGCTCCCCGAAACATGCAGGCTCACTCATAGCTGAGCCCAGACTCTCAGACACATCTTCTGATAAGGACATCTCCACAGACACCCAGAGCGACACACACACACACCCCCCTACTGAGAGAGGGGCTCCCCAGTCAGAAACAGCCCTGGAAACAAACAGAAACTCAGAGACAGAGACATTCACACATAGACCGCCCCCACTCATACACAAACGTGTTCCCCTCCCTCCAGGCCCCTGCCTCGCTTACACACTCTCACAAGCACCACAGCCAGTCACAGAGGACAAGAGGTGCTGATAGCATTCACACTCACCCTCAAAACACTGCAGCCACAGAAACAGAGACACGGTGCCCACCCACAGTGAGACACGAACCCCGGCTATCGAAACACACACAAAGCAATGCACACACCACGCGCACACACACACACACACACGGCCTCAGAGCCACCCATGTACAAAGAGAAAGCCCCTGATCAGGGTGCCACTGTCCCATGCCTATCATGTTCCAGATATCATGAGTCAGGGAGGTGACCTCTGATGCAAAATAGATAGATGTCCTGTCTCCCACCCTGCCACCAGTGTCAACACATCAGACTCAGGGTACCCTGTTCGGATGACTGGGGCCCACCTCGTTGTCCTGGGAGAGAGATAAGGACAGGGCCTAGCCACAGCCACACTGGCTATGGCCTCCATGTGGGCCTGCCCCAGGGTCCCAAGGCTGTGCACATCCATGGGGCAGTCACCTGGAAGGGACATATCACTAGCAGCAGCCAAGGGAGAGGACTGAGTGGCATCAGTGCCATAGGAAAGACCAGTCAATCCCCTCAAAGGATATAGATGGAAGAGGGGCTGCGATTGTGCTGGTCACTTGGATGCATGAGAGATGTTGAGATCAAAATATGGAGCTTCAGGTTCTGATCTGTAGAGTACGTGAGTGAATCCTGCCCCTCCATCATCTGTCCTCCCTCTGGAAAGTGGGAAGAATGATCCTCTTTCATGTTGGCCCCACCAGGAACGAACCAGGGGTGGCCCCACCCCACAGTCTCCTGGCAACTCAGTGTCTCTGGTGAGATAAACTGAGGTGGGGGAGGCCTCCGGGGATATCGCCCATCCCCTTCTCTATCTCTTTCCAGGATTTTAACCCATGACTTTTAACGCATGACAGACTAGGGTGACTGAGAGCAAACGGCTCCTGCCCTGTTCTCTAAGGTGGGACATTCCTAGTCACTCTCCTTCCAACTTCCAGCACCCTTTACCTCCTCACCCCTTTCCAGGGTATCTGTTCCTCCTGCTGTGCCCAGTAGTACCTGGTGGATAGCAGGCGCTCAACAAGTATGTAACGATGAATGAATGTCAATAAAATAGGACCGAGCCATGAGTGGAGGGTGGGATCTCTGAATGCTCAGGTCTGGCACCACTCCCTCCATCTCCTGGCACCCAGCACTGCTCAGCCTTCTGGGCCTTTTCCCTGGGAATTTCCCAACACCAGAAACCCCCCAGTTAGGAGGGCAGAGGGCAAGGAGGGTCAGGAGAGGTCTGGCTGTCCACTCCAAGCCAAATCTTCCAATGCCAAAGCTGCCCCCCTCTGCCATAGTCAGGGAGGGGGTCTCACCTTCCCAAAAGACAGTGAAAGGGGGAAATAAATAAAGGAGTGAGTAGGAGAGACCCCAGCAGGGGCAACCACTTGTGGGGAGGAATCTTAAAAGGAGCTGGGGCAAAATGAGAGGTGTTCTAAGAGGGTAAGATGGAAGCATAGGACCCTAGGGACCAGGCTTTGAGAAACGGGGGAGGGGAGCGTCTCTCAAGGCCCCAGGAAGTCAGGCCAGGGAGTCCTCAAACTCCTGGTGAGAAGAGGAAACAGCTTCTTCCCTCTGGAAGCTAAGGAGTTAACTCCCTTCCTCTCTCCTCCATCCTAGCCACTGGTAGCCGGGTTCCTACTTCCCCTGCTGCCGGTCTTTCCCTCCTCAGCCCTCATGCCCTGGGAGTGGAGGGGCTAGGGCCCCTGGGGAGGCTTGGCCCAGCCAGCTGAGGTCTCTTTCCTCCCCTGGGCAGGCATCCCCAGCAGGCTCAGTGAGCGCATGACCCCTTCTTGACCTCAAGCCCCGACCACGCATCTTCCAAGGAGGGAGAGCAACCCACGGGTCCGCACCGGCTCCTTAATCCCCTGGCTCTGCTGCACCGGTGCACACACCCACCTCTCAACTCCCATGAACACGAGTCCGTGTAAACACTCGTCCCCCCGGCTGGGGCTAAGCCATTCGCCCCCCCTCGGGCGCCTGCCCCCACCGCGATGTATATGCACGACCCTCTCCTCCAGATGTGCGGATGACACCCTCATCTCCTTCCCAATGCAGTGTGTGTGTGGGTGGGTGCGGGGGGTGCTGTGGGACTCTGGGGGCGAGGGCGCACCCCGGGAAGGTCATGACTTTCCGAGGTTGGGGGAGGGGGCGCCAGCCTGATTTTGGAGTGGGGGCCGGCCCACGCCGAAGGCACCTAATGCAGTGGGGGAGGGGAGGAGGCGTTTCTCAGGGATCGGGAACCTGCAATGGCCTGGGCGTCCCCCACCCCTGGATGGCTCTCGGTGCCGCGGAGCGGGCCCCCATCTTCGTGTCCCCGCCCCTCGCCCAACCCGAGGCGGCGATCCCGGCCCCCACAGCCGCTCCCCCTTACCTGCGGCCACAGGTGTACGCGCGGGGTCCCCAGCCCCAGGTCCTGCGTCCGGCGGGGGAGGGAGGGCCCCTACTCCCACCCGCCCGGGCTCTTCTCTCCCCTGGCCGCCTCCGCAGCCGCGGCCGCCGCCGCCGGTGCCCTTTGCTGCAATGCGAGAGCCGCCGCGGCCGCCGCCGTGCCGGCCCGGGCCCCGGTCGCCCCGGTAACCGCGACTCCACCTGGCGCTGCGCGGCGCGCCGCCGTGCACATCCCCTCTCGCGGCCCCCTCCCCCGGCGCGGCCCCGCCGGCGCAGCCCCGCAGAGGAGCGGCGGAGGCTGGTGGCTGCGTCGCCGCGGTCACCCGATACGCCGGCCCGGCGCCCGGGACTCGGGTTGCAGCAGGAGGGAGGGAGGTTAGACAGCCTGGTGGAAGCCGGGGGAGGGGCTGTGGCTTGGAGTCCAACCTCTGGTCCCCTCCCAGGATCCTCTTCACTGCCCCCATCCCTAAAGGTCCCGCCTGGTGGAGGGTCAGGGAGAGGACAGTGTTCTGCCTCCTGCTCAACCTTCAGAGCTCACAGCTTCTCCCCAGCGGGGTCTTCGCTGTGCACCTTTGGCCTTTAACTCTCCCGTGACTTAATCCCTAGCCAAGTCTGGGAGACCTAGTATGCCTAAGTTTCCTAGATGGCCTCTGATTCTGCCCTGCTGTGTGGTTGTGGCCTTTCCAAAGTCTTTGGTCCTGCACTTGACAAAAGGGAACCTCAGACTCAGCCTTAGGGGCAGGGAGTGTGATAAGCACCAAGTGATGACAAGATCCTATGCACAGACACTTTCCTGGTTAATTACAGAGCCCCAGGAGAAGGTCTGCTCAAGCGCTCCCCTTTCCCCCATCAGAGCAGATCCCAGATGTGGACAGGCCAAAATCCCCAGCCCCCTAGCCCCCTGACTTGGGACAACTGAGCTCACCCAGTCCAGCCTCACTCCTGTCCATCATCCAACCCCTATCACAGCCCCAAGACGCTCCATCTGGGGAGGACCTCTGGGCAGCCAAGGCACCCCAACCCTGCCTGTGCATATCACATCCTCCTCTGTCCTATCACCATCCCTGTCCTAGCCCCACTTTGGTCTCCACCATGCACTTGGCCATTCAGGACAAGTCTGTCCCACTTGCCATCCAGCCTTGGGGGCAGACACATTCCTATTCCCCAAAGTTCAGCCAAGATGGGGCTTGGGAACTGGGAAAGAAATTGGGCTGAATGCCCTGTGAGTGATGCCAAGCATGCCAATCTGTTACTAGACTTGAGTTACACTCGGCTAAAACATCCTCCCTCTGAAGGCCTGTCATTTCCTTGGTGGTCACAATTTTCTTTCTCTTCATTCTCCTTGAAAAAGCCAAGCGTTTTTGTCCTCTGGGGGAAGCAGGGTGTGTAAGGACCTAAGCACTCTGCTTCCACTGGATTCCCTGCCACTATCCCTCCTCTGCCTCCTACAGCTGAACATCCTCAAGTCAAGTCCTCCCCTGGGCTGTCCCCTCCCCATTGCAACTCTGATGCTTATTTTGGGCCTCAGATGCCTATTTTTCTCCCATAGCAATGTCCAGGCCTAGCCGGGAGCCCAGGCCCCTAGTATCCTGCCTACATGCGCCCCTGTCTAAGCTAAGATCTATCTTCCCATAACGGACATCAAAGCTTGATGAGGAAGAGGGGAATAAGTTCAGAACAGATGACTTGATACCCAAGTCTTCTTAAAAATTAGAGACTAAGCCATGAACTTAGCAAGAAGGGTGAGAGAGAGACTTCATGCAGAACTTCCTGATGGTGGGACATCTGGGGAAGGCTGGATCTGCTCAGAAACGAAGGGGAGGGTGTGGAGAGGGGAATAAGATGGTCCTCAGTGGGAGGAGGGCATAAAACCCACAGGGCAAGGTCAGGGGATTTCTGTTTAAAGGAGAAAGGGATACAAAAACTTTTTTAAAAATCCTGAGTATGTTCCCTCAAAAAATTCCTTCTCCAAAGTCAACCAGGCTTGGGGAGGTAGTGACAGGGAATTAGACATCGGGCAGATGTGAGTATGGGGCATAGAAGTCTCCTGAAAGTAGGGGCTCCTACACCAAAGACAAAAGGTTGCTAAATAAAAATCCTGAACGCCCCCCCTCCAAAAAAAAGTCCTCCCCAAAGCCAAACTCCACCATGGGCTTGGGAGGTGGGGTGGAGGTGGGTGACTCACCTGGGCCGGCTGGCCAGCCCCGGAGGGGGCGGAGTCGCCATGGAGGTGGGAGCAGAGGGAGCTGAGGAGGCACACGGGGTCCACGGTCCAGCCGCCAACCTGTGTGTGCGAAGCGGGGGACACCCCATTAGGGGAAGCGGGCAGGAGCCGCTGGGGTACTGTGACTGGGAGGGAAGGGCATTCCTGGGGTAAGCCTTGGCACAGAGCTCATACTGCAGAGGGGTCTAGCGACACTGGCAAGTCCTTTCCTTAGGTTGGGTATCTCTCTAACTAGAGCCCTGCTCTGTTTCTGGATGTCTGCCTTTTCTGTTAGACCCGGGGCTTCCCTGAGCCCAGGGCAGGGCCTTCCCTATCAGACATTCCTGAAATCCTCATCTCCACTTTATTTTTTTTGAGACAGGTTCTCACTCTGTCTCCCAGGCTGGAGTGCAGTGGCACGATCCCGGCTCACTGCAGGCTTAACCTCCTGGGCTCAAGTGATCCTCCCACCTCAGCCTCCTGAGTAGCAAGGACTACAGGGACGAACCACCATGCCCAGCTAATTAAAAAAAAAAAATTATTTTTAAGAGACAGCCGTGTTGCTTAGGCTGGTCTCAAACTCCTGGGCTTAAGAAATCAACCTGCTTCAGCCTCCCAAAGTGCTAGAATTACAGGCATGAGCCACTGTGCCTGGCCTCGTGTCCAATTCTTGGATGCCCCTCTGCACACTGGCAAGGAAGCTGCTTCTTACCATCTCCCCTTCCCCAGCTCTCGTCCCCTCCTCACTGAAGGTGTCACACCTACCTCACAGAAATAGGAACCGCTGGGCAGGAGAAGCCTTCCCCCAGTTGTTTCTATCCCACAGCATATCTTTCTTTTCTGTATCTTAGTGGAAGTGACTCCACCTGCTTCATTCCCCAAGACCACCCCACACCTAAGACCATCCTTCCAGATTCCTCTAGGACCTGTTTCCCATGGCCTTCTTTCCCCTTGGCATCCTCAGATTCATTCCTCCCTCATTCTCTCATTCATTCCACAAACACTGCCTGAGCTGGCACCATGCTTAGGCACCGAGCATTCCATTGCAAGTGAATGGGCCATAGATCCTACCCACTTACACTCTAAGTGGGGAAACGAATGAGTGAAAGAAGAAAGGAATGAATTTGAGGGTGGCTGGGCTTTGATTCATTTCCTAAGTATTTACTGAGTTCCACACTCTGTGCTGGTGAACATGCTAGAACATAGGAGGCCCTTAGACATACCTTCTCTCCCAGGCCTGCTGCCCCTGGAAGTTCCACCCAGCTGTTTTCATCCTTTTCCTGGCCCAATCTCCCCAAAGTAAGTCTGTAGCTGGGGCTCCTGATCCTTTACCAACCCCAGTCTTCCTAACCCCTGAAATTGACCATTACTTTACCACACCACAAGACACAAGCTCTCAATACCCTCTGCGCCCACAGATCCCTGTCAGTCGCAATGTCTGTTTCTCTCTCCCCATCCTTTTGGATGTCTGAAGGGCTGGTCACCCTCCTGCTGGCCCCTTGTCCAGGCGCCTTTTTTCCCCTGGGACTTCCTCATGGATGTAGAACATTCCTGGTCCCCTTTCCCCAAACATCATGGGCTTTCTCTCTTCTTAGACCCCATTCCTCCCTGATGGCCACTCAGCCTCCCAGGTCCACTTCGTATCTGCTGTGACCGTGCTCAACTCTCTCCTCCTGAAGCTGCGGCCTCTCTGGAGTCCTGAGTGGTGCATTTGGTGCCTTAAGAGCATCCCCAAGAATGCCCTACCCACTACTCAAACCCGTCTCCATATATTCCTCTCCCCCACCCCCAAACATTTCCCTCCAACCCTCCTATTTCTCTCCAAGGCACCAACATCTCCCTGTCGCCCAGGTGTTTCTGTCATTGCCTTCTAGGCCCAGGCAGCTTAGCCTTAGACCTACACTTGGTCTTCTTCCAACCCCCATCTGTCCATCCTTTCCCCTTCATCATCCCTGATACACTCTTCCTCTTCTCCTTCCCCTCCTCCAGCCCCGCTTCTCCCCTCCTATTCACCATCCAAAAGCAACCACAGCCATCCTAGCCACCAGCATCTGCCCCACTTTTTCAGCCCCCACACATCCCACTACTTCCCACCTGAGCCTTCTTGCCAGCCAGTTGGACCTCTGGGCCAGTTCCCAAATCAACTCAGGCCTATGCCCATGCCACACCCCCCACCACTCCTAAAACAACATTCTTTTCCTCTAGGCCTATGCAAATGCTTTTCATCTTTCTAAGCCCAGTTTAGATACCTCCTCCTGCAGGAAGCTTTCCCTGATCAGGCCTGCCTATGATCTTCCCTCCTCTAAACCGCCTCCCAACTGACTGTTCCCCTCCCCAGCTAGATGACAAATGCCCCTGCCCTTCTCCTCAAGCCAGTGCACACAGCAGGAACCCAATGAGAGGGGCTCCCTGAGGGTGAGGGCCACATCTGCATCTTCAACTCTCTCTAATCCTGATCTGCATCCTGCTCCCAGAAGGACTTTGGAGCTGGGAAAAGGCAAAAGCCAGACAGAACTGGAAGTGGCACTAGGGGGCAGATAAGGTACCAGAAATGTGCCAATGTGTCTTGTTCCCTGCAGTGAGGATGGGAGTGGAGACACTCCTCCCTATCCTCAATTACATCCAGTAGAACCCGGAAAAGGGAGACAGGGACTGACGCAACCCCAGGTTTGACTGAAAGGCTGCTGATGGGATGTGCATCCCTCCCCTCAGTCCCTTTACCCAGGGGGACAATGGCTGAGTCTCAGAAGCCAATATGCATCAACCATGCAGGCGCCTCACCAATGCAGAACTGTACACAGGCTGCTAGACCCAGAAAGCATGTTCTTACAGACAAGAAGCTCATACTTGGGTGGAGAGATGCACTCAGGACCCCGAGGTTCTGGGGGAGGTTTAAAAAGGAACCATCCCACCCGCTATAGAAGGAGACAGGTCCTGGTCCAGAGAGAGGTGCTGTGTCTCCTCTCTAAGCCCTACTGATGGCAGGAGAGATACCCAGGTACAGAGAGAGGAGGCCTCCAGCTCCAAGTCACCCAGCAAGCCATGGGGTGGAACAGGGAGGAAAGAGGTCAAAGGCTCCAGTTCTGGGCTCCATTCCTGCAGGCTGCAGGGACTGGGGACACATCGGACGCAGCTCACTAAGGCTCTCAAGGCCCGATCCTCTCTTAGAGTCCATATCACAGAGCTGCCGACGACCCTGGCCAGCATTTCATCTGCACCACAGGATGGACTCTCTCGGGCACAGAACAAGTCCCCAAGGCTATCCTCCTCTCCTTTCCTCCCAGAAGAGTTCTGCCCAAACAGCCTGAGTTAAAGAGGCTGGGCTCTCTCTGCCCCATCACATGCTCTCAATTTCCGGACTGCAGGCAGAGGTCTGGAGGCCAAGCCCCCACCCCTTTCCTTCCCAGGCTCCAGAAAAGGCCAACCGGAGCAACTGCCCCGAGGGACAGCTCCCCAACTCCTCCCCTTCTCTCTCTGCTCCAGATGCCTCCCAGAGTTGGAATGAGCCTGGGGGCATGGAGCACGGGGTCAGACCCCCTCCCCTGCCCGCTGGCCGCGGCCGCAGCCGCAGCCGGGAGCCCACTCACCTGCTCTCGCATCCTGTCCTGCTGGCCTCGCAGGGCCAGGGCGTGCTGCGGGTATTTGCTCTTCAGGTGGTCCATGAAAGCATCACGCTTGCGGTCGGCGTCCGCCTTCTGGAGCCCGCTGAGCGCCTCCAGACTCTGGGCCGCGATCACCGTGTGCCGCCGCTCGGACGTGTGCACCAGCCCCACGTTGGAGAAGCGCCGGCCCCCGCTGCCCCCGCCGCCCCCGCCCCCCAGGGTCCGGTACTCCCGCGGGTACTCCGCATCGTCCGCAGACAGCATGGGGGGGCTGCTCCGCTCCGGATCTGCGAGAGGTGAGAGGGGCATGGCGGGGTCACAGCGCGCCCGGCCTGGGGCTGCCCATCTCCCACCGGGGGTCCCTGCGGGGAAGGGCGGGGCCTGGGACTAAGGAGAGTGGAGAGGCGTCTGGCGCGAGGCAGAGGCTGCCCGGCACCCCACTAGGGACTGAAGGGGGAGGTGGGTGAATGGCGTGGAAAGTGAGCCCACGGCCCCCAGGGAGGGGTGAGGAACAAGGGCTGGATACTTCCTGTTCCTCCGTGGGTTTGGAGCGATAATGACCGCGGGGAGAGTACCGCCCTTTGAGGCCAAGGGGAGGGGGCTTGGATGAAAGGGGTAGAAGGTATCCTGAGACCCTCTCCAGCCACACAACCCCCTCTCCTCCTAAAGCTGGTGTCAGCAGGTGAAGGAAGAAGGGTTGCTTTTTAGATGCTCCCTAAAAGACGTGAAAAGGAGCTCGTAGTCTTCCTTCGAGGTTGGGTAGGGGGAGCCCTGCCTCCTCCCTCAGACTAGCATATGTCCAGGACATACTTATTCTCAAGGCTGGGGGCCGGCTGGAAAAAGGGCCAGGGCGGGAGGGAACACATGGGGAGAATGAAGGCAAAAATCGCTCTGAGGTTTCCCATGGAGATGGAAGCCCAGGGTCTGGGGCAGTGGGACCCCTTTTCCCTTCCCTCCCCAGAGACAGACAGATAGACAGACAGGAGAGGCTGGGCACAGAGAGGACAGTGAGAGATGGATTTGGAACAAACTTAAAGGAGAAAGGAAGCAGACAGAACAGCTGAAGTCCTTCCCAGGGACTTTCCCCCCACCTCTCCCCTCCCTTCTTCAGTCTCTCCTCCTGACACAGACACAAGCTTAAGACCCATAAGAGACGTACAGCGGACAAAGGACAGCACAGAAGCGAAAGAAAGAGAAGGCCGGGGGTTGAGGTCCCACGTGGAACTCTGAATCCCCTTCCCAAATGCCCACCAGCCCTGAGGTCACCCTGCTGGCCCGCACTCTCCAGCCTCAACGACCAGTGGCCAGGGGTTCCAGAGGTCACCCATGCCCTTGGGGGTGGAAGAAGTTGCTGGGGGCCTACCTCAGCCATATTCCTGGGCATAAAGCATAGATTTGTGCCCCTCAGAAGTCAGTCCACAGGGAGACAAGCACAGCCTCTCATGCACACACCAGCCCCACAATCCACCAGCCCCAAAGCAGCACTCCAAGTGTGGCCTTGGACTGGGGTATGAGGCGCTGCAGCAGACACATGCACTCCTGCCCGCTGTGTGGCCTGACTCACAGGGCTCCTCCAAGGGCAGACCAAGGCAACAGGGGACCCGGCTGGAAATGCTGGAAACCAGCCAGGTTTGCCACAAGCCTCCTCCTGCCAAGCATCCACTGTCAGGAGGTCTGTGGACAGCTGCCAGGTCTGCCACCCCCTGCCCAGCCACAGAGGAAAGAGGAGATTCAGCCAGGTTTCAAGAAAAGCCACCTGCCCCCAACACACACACACACACACACACACACACACACCCCTCCCTGGGTGTGTTGGGGTATGTCCATCAGGGGCACAGAGTCTGCGAGAACCCAGCACCTTGCACCGAACCAAGGGAAGAAGGGCTCCCATGGGCATGAGAGCCGCAGCTCACCAGGGGCCGACCACCTGCCTCATGGCTGCGTGCCTCCCTACACCCCATCAGGAGGGTGTTATCATGGTCCCCATTTCAGAAACGGCTACCGAGACTCAGAGAAGTCCACTGACAAGCCCAAAGCAACACTGAATGGTAGAGGTCTGATTTGATTTCAATATTTGTTACGTATGTGCCACCACACTCTCTGCGATGACTCTTTCTTGAGTGAACACTGACAGCACCACATGGCATGTGTGGACTTCCTCACTGACCTGCTGCTATCCCCATGATGGCCCTGGATCTGGGGTGGTCCCTCTCACCGTGGTCACCATCCTCTGTTGTGCTCCCCAAACTAAGGTCCAAGTACATGAGAGATGACTTTGGGAAGAACATTATTTTATGTCTTCTCTTCCTTCCTTCCTTTTCCTTTTTTTGGGGGGACAGGGTCTCACTCTGGCACTCAGCTTGAAGTGCAATGATGTGATCATAGCTCACTGCAGCTTCAAGTTCCTGGGTTCAAGAGATCCTCCCACTTCAGCCTCCCAAGCAGCTGGAACTACAGGTGCATGCCACCACGCCCAGTGAATTTTTTCCTTTTTTTAGAGATGGGGTCTTGCTATGTTGCCCAGGCTGGTCTCAACCTCCTGGGCTCAAGTGATTCTGCCACCTTGGCCTCCCGAAGTGCTGAGATTAAAAGTGTGAGCCACAGACCGGGCACAGGGACTCATGCCTGTAATTCCAGCACTTTGGGAGGCCGAGGCAGGTGGATCACGAGGTCAGGAGTTTGAAACCAGCCTGACCAACATAGTGAAACCCCGTCTCTACTAAAAATACAAAAAATTAGCTGGGCGTGATAGCGGATGCCTATAATCTCAGCCACTTGGAAGGCTGAGGCAGGAGAATTGCTTGAACCTGGGAGGCAGAAGTTGCAGTGAGTCGAGGTTGTGCCACTGTACTCCAACCTGGGAGACAGTGTGAGACTCTGCCTAAAAAAAAAAAAAAAAAGTGTGAGCCACCACACCCAGCTCTTTTTTTTTTTTTTAATACCTTTATTTTTCATAAGGATTAGAAAAAGCCCCAACTATAAGGTCAAACCAGTTATTTCATGGATATAGTTCCTTGGGATAGCAGTGAAATAAAGTTTCCTTTTAAGTAAATTTGAAGTTCAAAGTGGGCTAACAAAAAGATATATATATATATATAAAAATTTTTTTTTTTTTTTGAGATGGAGTCTCACTCTGTCGTCCAGGCTGGAGTGCAGTGGCTGGATCTCAGCTCACTGCAAGCTCCACCTCCCAGGTTTACGCCATTCTCCTGCCTCAGCCTCCCAAGTAGCTGGGACTACAGGCACCCGCCACCACGCCTGGCTAGTTTTTTGTATTTTTTTTAGTAGAGATGGGGTTTCACCGTGTTAGCCAGGATGGTCTCGATTTCCTGACCTCATGATCCGCCCGTCTCAGCCTCCCAAAGTGCTGGGATTACAAGCTTGAGCCGCCGCGCCCAGCCACAAAAATATATATTGCATTAGTACAGTACAAAAGGTTTCCTGATATGATGGCCATTTGTGAAACAACCCCTGACTAAGTGAGACTGGGGACACTGGGGCCATCTTCCCAAGGGCCCAGTCCCTGCCCTTGAAGTACTTGTGGCCAGAAGTGTGGCTGAAGGAGAGTGGCCTGAATAATGCCTCCAGGAGAAGGCTGGGGGTTCCCTGGGCACTGGAGAAATAGTTCCAACCAAAGTCAGAGGGTTGCCTCCAGTAACCCCTGACCTTCCTCCTCCTCCACTCACCCTCAACACCAGCCAGAGGTCTGCAGCCCATTGGGTACAAGTGAGAAGGAGGGGACCTTCTGAGGCCAAGAGCCTTCCCTTTGCCCAGGCCTTGTAGATTCTGCCATGGCATTGCTGCTGGAATCCAGCTCCACAGTTCAGGCCTAGTCCTGCCTGAGCCAGAAGGACCCCTCCCCTTTATGCCAGAGAGCCAGGCTCCTCTGCCCTCCTAGGGCTCAGGACAACATTGGGACAGGTCTCCAATTATCATCTCCCAGCTGCTTCCTTCCTGGAGCCAAAAGAGCTCCTCATCCCCTCTCTTACCCCCTCTTTATGCCAGCACCTCCTTCCCTACCTCCTGGGGGATCTCAGTGTGTCTGGAGTGGAGCAAACAGTGTACCAGTCTGAGATGGGTGGTGACTGTGGAGTGGGAGGGTCCCCAGGTCACCCAGTTTTCCCAGGCAGATTATGGCAGGGAGGGGTCCCAGCTCCCAGCTGCTGGAGCAGGCAGAGGGTAGGGCATGGAGCTCACAGCTGCACTTTATGACTGCAGTCCCACAAATCTAACAGTTGGCAGTGGGGAGGGGCTGCTGAGCAGCCTGCACAGACAGGGGAGCAGGGACTACCCCTCACTGCCTCCTCCAGGCCGCCACTCAGCCCTCAGGTGCTCTGGCATTGGGGCCATTGGGGTGAGGTGGGCAGGAGCTAGATACTAAGGGGTGGCAGAAAGAGGGGAGGGGGTAGAAGAGATGATCTGCTCTCTCTGAGGGGCGGTGGCAAGGAGGAGCTTTGATGTGAAAAGCTTTAGAATCCGTTTAAGAACCTTTGAGATCCTTGGCTTTTATATAACAAAAAAAGTAAACTGAGGCTCAGGGAGAAGGGAGTGCCTGGGTAGCCTAGCTGTCCTGGCTTCCTACTTTGTATTGATTTAACTTCTTTCTGCAGGGCCCCAGCTGAGCTGGGAGGATGAACCTGGGCTTCTGGTTGAGGGTGGGGGAACATCCTGTCCTTAGGAGAGGGAAGTCAGTGACCAGCCTTCTGGGGGGCTCTGAAGACTCAGGAATGATTTTAACTCTTTCAGCAGGCTAGGCACTTGAAATCAGAACGTTGGGAGAGAAAAACCCAGGCCAGAGACACCCTGGGTGTCTTAGCAACTTTTCTGAGATCCCAGGCTATCCGTTTATTTATTTTTGAGACAGGGTCTCACTCTGTTGCCCAGGCTGGAGTGCAGTGGCGAGATTATGGCTAAGTGCAGCCTCGACCTCCTGGCTTCAAGCTATCCTCCAGTCTCAGTCTCTTGAGTAGCTGGGACTACAGGCACGTGCCACCATGCCCAACTTATTTTGGGGGTCTGTTTTGTTTTGTAGAGATGGGGTTTTGCCATGTTGCCCAGGCTGGTCTCCACCTCCTGAGCTCAAGCCATCCACCCACCTCAGCCTCCCAAAGTGCTGGGATTACAGGCATGAGCCACCACACCCAGCCTCATTAATTTAGGTATTTATTCAGTCTACAAATCTCTTCCCTTTCAGAGCCTAAGAACCTAATTTGTAAAATGGGGATGTTAATGTCTAAACTCTGCCTTTGGGCACAGAGTGAGAGGCTGGCAAGACAATGGTGGAGAA